GGCCCCGGCTCGGTGCTGCTTCTCCTCCCCCCCCTTTTCCCCGAGGGTAGGGAGCAGGGGCGAAGGGGGCGCTGAGCCCGGATGAGGCGCTGCTCAGAAAGGGCGGTGACGAGGGGTTGTGCTGCGGTTGTGCTTTAGCAACCTTTCCTTGTCTACCGGTCTCAAGACACGGGTTGTCCGTCGTCAGTCTCTTCTGGCTTGTCTTCTTCCAGACGCATCTGGAGCAACCTTACCATTCAGGCTGAGTCTTCTCCTAGATATACTGCTGAGTGAAATACAGAAACTTAGCCTGCTACCAGATTTATTTGGCTGGGTGCCGTCCTTACTAGGAACCCAATTAGATGGGGGGCTCCTGAGAACGGGGTAAAATCTCATAGTTTGTGCCACCCAGCGGAATCAATCTGGACTGAGCGTACACGGACTCAAAAGAGAGTGGCTGAATTCTCAGATGAGTGTTATTTGCATAACTACCTATGCAGCTCATTTTAAAACACCCCAAACTTCATGTTTACCAGCTGGGTGGTGGTATTGCACATCTTTGCATCACCCTCCTGCAGTTCCTTATCTCTTTTTTTTCTAGGCAAAATACACTAAGGCCGCCCTCCACTGCAGCTGCTCTGTAAAATCTACCTCGATGAATACAGCTTTTGGAGCTTTCCCCATGTTCTTCCAGCATCCGTCGGTGTATGGCCTGTCACGGATCACCCCTCACTTGTACCTCAGTGATGGCGCCACTGCCAGTAATAAGCTCCTGCTCTTTACAAATCAAATCACCACTGTCATCAATGTCGCTGTGGAGGTGGTAGACACTTTCCATCCAAACATTGAGTATATGTATGTTCCTGTGGTGGACTCCCCCGTCTCCTGGATCTACAGTTGCTTTGACACCGTAGCGGATAAGATACACAGTGTGAGCATGCATCAGGGCCGAACGCTGCTGCATTGCGCTGCAGGCGTCAGCAGGTCAGCCACCGTGTGCTTAGCCTATCTCATGAAGTACCAGTCTATGTCTCTGGCGAGCGCGCATGCCTGGGTCAAGTCTTGCCGTCCCATCGTACGACCCAACAATGGCTTCTGGCAGCAGCTCATTCAGTACGAGTATAAGCTCTTTGGTACTAACACAGTCCGAATGATCAGCACTCCACTGGGATTGATACCTGACGTTTATGGAAGGGAAGTAAGACTAACGGTACCGTTCTGAATGCAAACTAGCTTTATGACATCTTGGCAAAAAAATCAGGAGAAAGTAAAAGGCAGTTGTTCTAGACCTGTCTTGGAACTTTGAAAATAAACTCTTCAGCTCTGAGAAGTTGTAGCGTAAAGTTTCTGCTGCTAAAAGTATGGGGAATCAGCGATAAGAATGGAGACTTGTGTGTTTTACTATAAATAAAATCAGCACAATTTAAACCACGCAGTTAGTTTTCACACATCATTTGTACTGGGGTCCTGACAGTAACTCTGAAACCAACTGTCACATGTTTTAAAAGTGTTGTCTTAGTCCAGCACAAACTGCACTTATACTACAGGAGAGAAACTAGCTGCAATTCAGGAATTTGGAAAGTTAGCAACATTTTTTTTTTTCCTAATTGGGACAGGACTTTGGGTTTTGATAAAGCAACCCTAAATCCAGTCATCTTCTACATTTCGGAGAGGCCAGGAACAGTGAAGACTCCTGCATTCCCAGCTGGAAGATACCTATGAATGTCCTGCTTTTTAATACCTGACCCTTTCTCTTCCTCTATGTGATCTCCTAGCCCTTTTTCAGAAAGAAGCTGCTCTGAAGGAGTCCTCTTTGCTCCTATACATGCAAAATCTTCTCAGGTCCCTGATGCTCTTTGAACCATTCCCATCCAGGTAGGCTGGGAAATCAAGATGGGAGCAATAAGAGGAATCCTACTCTGAATCTTTGTCAGTTTGAATCTTTGCTGCAAGGTCAGCACCTTGTTATAAACGAGAAGCCTGATCTGGACACACTGTGGCATCTTTCAGCACCAAGCCGTGTAGTAATTCCTGATGTGTTTAGCACACCCTAAGTCTTCAGTTCTGTTCTAGCTCTGTCCTGAGCTGCGATAACAACTCTTCTGGCATCGTTATCCTCAACTCAGGTGACTGGTTCTAGCATCCAAGACTAGGGCCTACATAGATCAGGACAGAAGAAGATCTGGTCACCTTCAAGACAGAGGAAAAAACAAAAGGCTCTGTGTCTGTTAGGAGGCATTTTCAACCGTCCAGTGGACAACATTCGTATTTCAACCTTTTCCTCTGCAGTCAGACAAGTCTGCTGATTTCTGTCCTTCGGCTTGAGTATGCTTCTGAGCTGTAGAGCAGCTGTGCTGTAACACGTGGCAGAAGCCTTCTTCAGCCCGCTGCCACACAAGCTGGGATCCCTGACACCCTGGAGGACTCTGACACATCTTTGCCCCCTACTGCGTTCACAAATTTTTTAAAGGCTAGCTATCATATTGTGCCATACCAATGGAGTGCTTCTCCACCCCCACAGAGAGCAACCTGCAGGTGTTAGGAACAGCTTGAATGATAGCTGTGGTGGATAAGAGCCTAATCTTCCTTTGGGTATTTTGGCTTTCTCCCAAAGGGTTCTCTAGAAGCACAGCAAAGACCCAACTCTTCATGAACATTTAAGAATTTTCTGTTGCAGAGCAGAAATGTTCAAGAAAAGCGACAGAATGAGCTGGCTGAGTGCAGGAATATCACAGAGAATATCATGGACATGATATATCTCTTGGAGGAACTGTTACCAGCCCCGTGTGCTATGTGGCCACCTCAGGTGCTTCTCAGATTGGGTCTCTAATTTGGCTCTTCTGACCAGAAGAGGGTGCAGTAGAGTCATTCCCACCCCTTCTCTACTCCAAATTTGCAGCCAGATACTGTACTTGCCCTACCAAGAACAACAGTGCTGCAAGCAGCCCTAGCTTGTCCTGCACATGTCTGGCTCTTGTGGAAGGGGCTACTGGTTAGGTCTCAGGCACCCTCTGAGAGATGGGAGACCATGGCTCGGCATATATGGAGGCAGATGGGGGCTCACTTAAGTGGAAGTCCTGGCTGCCCATAAAGCCACTTTAGAAAAATGCTCTTAAACTTCACAGAGAGCTAACTTTTCTGGGGACTGTGCCTGGAGAATATAAAGCCCCAGATGCTGAATCTTCTGTTCTCAGAAGTTCTTTGATAGCTGCTCCCCATTGCAATGGCTGTCTTGACTGTCAGCAGAGAGGACACATGAACCTTTAAAATCCTGGTTCAGCACTCAGTGTTAGGGAGCAGCTATTCTATAGGGGAAGGCAAGCTGGGAGCTGAGGGCAGCAACAGGGCAGGCAGGGACAGTGGCCTCACCAGCAAGGGCACAGCCCCATAGTACCTGCACGAGGCGAGCAGAGCAGGTCCAGTGTCAGTAACCAAGGTCAGCTGAGAGTCCAGGTCACCAGGCAAGTGTCTAGTGATGAGGCAGGTCCAAGGTCAAGCCAGGAAGTGAAGTCGGCGGGTCAGAGTCTGGATCCAGCTCAATGGGGTACATGGTCAAGGATGGGCACGGCTGCAAAGTAGCTCTGGCAGAGGCCAATGGCAAGTGCCTTAGTTTAAATGGTGCTCGCAAGAGAAATAGGGGGATTGGAGATGGTGCTGCTGCTCTCAGGTCTTTATTGAACACCTCTTTCTTCACAGCCATGAGAACCCAGATTCAGCAGTTGCACCAGACCAGAGAGCTGGCCCTGAGCGCAGGCATCTGAACTCCTAGGAGGTGGCAGTGCACTCTGGGCCCTGACATTCAAGCCCATTGAACCAAGCTCTCATTCCCCTCGACTGGAAAGCCACATAGTGCCAGTACTGACTAAGGTCCAGTGAGTTCCTTCACGCCACTTCCACAGGTGAAAAAAAAGGCAGTGCTCCTTTGTTTCATTAAAAGCCTGTACTCAGTAGAGCAGCGCTTTGGCTTGGGCGTAAGCTGGCTGGCTTAAGATACCAATAAGGCATGCTGGATACATCAGTATCTGCATTTCACAATAGCCCACATATCATTTAAGTTTTTACACAGCAGTATAGTGTTATCATACAGTAACTAGCACAGGATTATAATGACAGGAAATATTTGTATCTTAAACATCTACATTCTTAGGTAAAGTTCAGATATCTTATGAAAAGAAAGTATATGATTCTGTAGGTTTCTTTAAGCTTATTTGGTTTAATCTTTTAGAAGCTCAGCGTTCTGTAAGATGATCTTTCTCAAGCAACCACTTTGCAATGGTTCTTTCTTCTAACAGTTCTGTGCTAATTATATCTCAAGTTAAATGCTGATTATATTTCAAGTTAATAGCATTTAGTAGCTCTATTCAAGGGGCACATTTCTCTTGTGCTAGAGCTGTACTGGTGAAGAAGCAGACCATCCTACCTTTGAATCATGAATCCCTGCAGAAACTATGTCACTTCTTTCCCGTAATGCAGGCTCAAACCCAAAGGAGCACATCAGCTTTTTTTGCACTTTCCTTTGCACTGATGTGAAGCAGGTGCAGTTTTGCTGGCCAGTGCTTAGAGGGAGGACTTCTGCAGAAACATGTTGGTGCTGCAGAAGTGCTGGTGGCATCACTTGAGAAGTCTTATTTTTTTCCCTCTGGGCTCTGCTCCCAGTATAACACTGGGATCACATTGCTACTGGAGATACTGCCTCATGGAGAGATGGAGAGCATGCAGAGCTGCAGTTTCTGCGTGAGTTGTTAGCGGTGAGGACTCACCCAGCAGCTGGGGGGTCCAGACACGACTGAACTGACGGACAGGCAGAGACTCAGCCTTTGCCACTACGGGAGAGGATGAGAGTGCTGCCCTGAACCTTTCTTAATCATGGTTAAAGTAGATCCCATGGAAGCTGCTGCTTTGGCCTTGGCCTCCTGCAACCAGATAGCAGTATCCTGCTCTCTGCTTTGTACTGAAGGCCTTGCAGACCACCATCCTCATGCTGCAGGTGGGGAAGGTGGCTGCCAGCTGCCACGCTCCATCTCAGGAGGGTCCATATGAGCTTTGGGAGGTGTTCCCCAAGGGAAGATGCTGCACACCTGGACAACTACTACATGCCTACAGGAAGTCAACAGCTTTGTTCAAGCAGAGCAGTGAGCCCCTGTGCCACAGCGAGAGAGCAATAAAGTGACCAAAAAAACTAGCCTGCTCCAAAATGGTTGACAGTGGATTCTGGAATCTTTTGAGTGCTGAATCAGAGAACGTAGAGCTGGAGGGGAGTCTAAAAGGTCATCATGACCATCTCCTGGCCTCAAACCAGGTTCACTCTGCTTCAAGCATCCTCAGATGTTTCTCTACACTGATGAACATTGCAGTCCTTATATCGTCTATCCTCGAGCTGAGCTGTCCTGCCAGGGAGAATGCTTTTCCTAATGTCTACCCTAAAAAAGGCTTTGCCATAATTTCAGGTTGTCATTTCTTGTCCTCTCCTAAAGGGAGGCAAAGAACAGCATATTCATGTCCTCTTTGGAGCAAACTTTTACATATCTAAAGGTCTGAAAGGCCCTAGGTTACACAGCCTCCTCTGTTGGATCTTTCCCGGTGGGCTGTGCACTCTAGGTCTCTGGTCATGGTTACCTGCCTGCTCTCCCCAAAACATCTCCCTCGAAGGCCTGCTCCCCTCCCTGCCCCATTCACCAGCAGTGGGACCTTGTAATGTCATTGCCACCAGAGCCAGGATAGTCTCTGACACCCATAGAGGACTGAGATGCAGTAGCCGGGATTGTATAGTTTTAAGACCACAACTCAGCATATGAGGGAAGAATATAGCTTTCTAAAATGATGTAGTGGCTTAGGCTCCCTGGCTTAGCAAGCATTTGTCCTTGCTGCCCCCCATCTGCAGATCCCATTTCTCTCTGTGCCAGTGCAGTAAACCTCACAACATCCCTAAGGGCTGCAATTAATCCCCCCTCCTGAAACATGGAAAATTTCCACAGCGTACTCAAGGGCAGACAGCTGACAAGTAGTAATGCCATCCCAATTCTCCTTCCCTGCTTGGAAACACGCTGTTCCTCTGCCAAGGGCAGCAGTTCACAGCTAAATCCCCAGCATGGTTCATCACTGCCTCAGAGGAGGATTTCAGAAGCTGTTTAGCAGCTAGCCCAGAGGAAATGGTTCAGCCAAATCCTGTAGCAACCCTTTTCCGTTGCGTACACACACATCTTTTTCTGCCTCTGATTTTCA